AAGGGGAGGGGAGGGGAGAAAAGGGGAGGGGAGGGGAGGGAAGGGGAGGGGAAGGGAGGGAACGGGAGGGCATTCGCATTGGGTTGAATATGATGGCCAAGCCTCTGAATCCATGTTTCTATCTTTCCAGATTCCAGGGTAGAAAAATGCAGCTCACAGCGAGTCCAGCTGTTCCGCTTAGCGCTCCCCGTAGCAGCGCCTTCTCCACCACGGTGGACCACACCGGTGACCAGGCCAGGGAGACTGGATGTCACCCTAGTGGCTTATTTATCTGGGCCCAAGAACCCACCGGCTGTGCCCCAGGGACCCCTGTGCAGCTGTGCTGGCTGCCAGGGACCCACCTGCCTCTCCGCAGTCCCTGCTGCCACCTGCTCTGGAGCTCAGGCCTTTCTCAGTGGCCCACTTTAGTGCTGCCCTCGGAGAGGGGCACTGGGAAGTCCACAGACTGAACTAAGCTACCCCTGGGGCTGGGGGGCAGGGGGGCAGGGGGGTAGGGGGGTAGGGAGGCATCCACTTTCAACTTGATGACCTTTCATCTAGTTTGCATGTTTTCAAATATGCATCTATTCCTTCTTTAATGTTTAAAATAAATTACAATACATGGAAAAACAAAACACTTATTTTAAAAAAAGAACAAAGTTCTACTTCTTTAGACAAGCAATTGAGAACATGCAGACTCAACTGTATTTGAACTTATGTAGAGCGTTTCTAACGTGTGAATGCTTTGTCAACAAAGTACTTACTACATCGACTTGCTGAAGTTTGGAAAAACTCTCATTTTTTTTTTGAGACAAAGTCTTGCTCTGTTGCCCAGGCTGGAATGAGGTGGCTCAGTCATGGCTCACTGCAGTCCCTGCCTCCCAAGTTCAAGCGATCCTCCCACCTCAGCCTCCTGAATAGCTGGGACTACAGATGCATGCCACCATGCCGGCCTAATTTTTGTATTTTTTTTGTAGAGACGGGGTTTCGCCATGTTGCCCAGGCTGGTCTTAAACTCCTGAGCTCAAGCGATCTGCCCACCTCGGCCTCCCAAAGTGCAGGGATCACAGGTGTGAGCCACCGCACCCTGCCTGAAAAAGATCTTTTTGAACAAGGTGTAAAGGATTCTGACTCAGAGGAGAAGACATGAACTCTAGATTTTACTCTGCCTTCTATTAAGTAGGTCACTGGTCCTTTGAGCGTGCATTTCCAGGCCTGCTTTAGAGCATGCCAACACACTCCACCTGCCTTACGGAACTGCTTCAAGCATCCAGTGAGCTAGAGGTTACATGAAGGAGTTCCCCAAGCCTTAAGCACCATGGAAATAGGTAAGTCACATGGAATGACCAATCTGAAACACTCAGACCTCAACAGACGCAAGAGCCCCATTCTTAGGTATTAAAAGGCATACTGTGTAGACTTCAACACATATCAGAAAACCTTGAATCTGATGAACTTCTTCTTCCAGGAGTGAAGTCCAGAGAGGTAGATCTGTTTAAGGGCTTCATGGCTCAGCCGTAGGTCAATCCCGTCGGGAGTGACCGTGAACTGGAAGGCCACAGCTTGGTGAGCTTCTGCCATCTTCCGGGGTCACCTGGGAGCAGAAGGAGAAAATGTAACACAGTGGCACGTGTGACCAGACACTAAAAAAAAAAAAAAAAAAACTCCTCATACGGAAGTACCATTCCTTCTGAATTTGTTTTTCCTCCCCACTTACAGATGTAATACTTCTCGTCAACAGATCCAATTCCATCACACAAAGGACACCCCCTCACCTGTCCACCGCTACACAGAAAATCACTGCCTCTGCTTAGGGGCCCAAGATGATCATCAGAAGCCAGGCCCGAGGCACCCCAACCCCTGCCCCTGGAAGTCCCCCGGACCCCGCCTCCAAGCCAGCATCCAGGCCACAACTCCTGACGCAAAGCCCATGGCACTTCGGCAACTCACACAGCACAGACAAATCTCAATCTTGCAGCCAGGCCCCTGGAGGCTGCCATTAAAAGCCCAGAGTGTCCATGAAGGAGCCCCCGACAGCCCTGGGCCCTGAACTTCAGTGGAGGGTGCACAGCGAGCCCAAATGCCTCTGCCTCTGGTGTCTGTGCAGCTGCTCCTTTTTTTTTTTTTTTT